TCTGTCAGTTGCTGCCGCCTGAAGTATTCCGGATCCAGATACCCGAAGCTCCCCTTCACCACTGTGCTCACGTGCGTGTGATCCAGCGTAGGACCCGTTTTCGACAGCCCAAAGTCCGAAACTTTTGCAACCCACTTCTCGTCCAACAGGATGTTGGTCGTCTTCACATCGCGGTGGATAATTGTGTGCTTGGCACCCGTGTGCAGGTAGTGCAGGCCGCGAGCAGCACCGATGCAGATCTCCAGCCTCTGCTTCCACGGCAGCGGAGGTTTCTGCGTCTTGTAAAGATGCTCCCGCAGGGTTCCGTGTGCCATGTAGTCGTAAACAAGGATCATCTCGCAGTTCTCTTCGCAGTAGCCAATCAGCGAAACCAGGTGACGGTGCCGAAGCTTCGACAGCATTTCAATCTCAGTTTGGAACTCATGCACGCCTTGCTCAGAAAGTGGATTCCCGCGCTTAATTGCGACTTTTGTGCCGCCATCAATTTCACCCCTGTATACTTTGCCGAACCCTCCCACGCCGAGAAGAGCAGCCTCGTCGAAGTTATTGGTCGCAGCCTTGATCTCGGCAAATGAAAAGTGGCGACAAAGGTTCGAAGGGAGGGAGGACGCATAGCTTCCAGTCGTGTTTGTCTTTGCAGAACCCGAGGAATGTGAATTTCCATATAATGATAGAGGAAGCCAGCCATCACTTGCAGTAGAGTCCTTTTGGTGCTTGCGGCGACGAGTAATAGCACAAACAAGCAACCCAATGAGGAGGACGGCAGCAATTCCACCTCCAACCCCTCCGCCAATGACTGCTTTCCCCTTTTTCGAGCGACCCGATGATGTTGTAGAAGAGACTGCCAGTTCATTTGGAAGTGGCGTTGGATTGAGACCCCCAAGATTTCCATCAGTATTGTTTACTTTGAATATCTCCACGCCATTTAAGATCGCATCATAATAAGAGGGTTTAGTGTCAGGGTTGGGATGCAGGGCAAGCCAGATATCTTGCTGCGGGGTCCCGACATTAGGGACGAAAACCAGATAATCTCTGTGCAGCGCAACTCCATTTGTGTTTCCCCAAGCAATAACATCTGCTGCTTTCTGGACAGTCTGATTATTAAGAAAGATGTCGAAAACCCTCTGATTAATTAAGCTAATATTCTCAAATCCCTCACAAAAATGGAGCCTAACTAGGTAGTAGAATCCTGTATCCACAGAGAAAAGCCAAGTCAAATTGTATTGGAGATTCACGTTTGCATTCGGGCCCATTGTTCTAAAAGTCCTGTAGACATCCAGCGGAGCAACATAAGATGGCGTCCCCGGGGGATAGTTGATGGTAACATTTGGATCAGCTACGTTTGTAACCCCAGAACCAGCGCCTAAGATGTACCTCGAATCGGCATTCCACGACCTGAAAAGGCCTGTGTCGTTGGAGGGCGAGATGTCATTTCCACCTACATTTAGCCGATAAACATTCTCGAGTGCAGTAGTATTGTCGATGGAGAAGGGTGCATTTTGTCCAGCAAGTAGGCTGGGACCTTCAGCACTGTAGATATCAGGATGGGAGACAACCTCAATGCCGTTAACAAACGCGTAGGAATTGCCTGGGTCTGAGGCTGGTGAGAAAGTTAAGTTCAACACGCCGGATGGCACGTTGACAGAAAACTCCTTGGTGATAAAATCGTAGTTTAGAGCCTCAGCCGTCTGTGCAGCACTGAAGTTCTTCATAAGCATGAAGCGTCCAGCGGTGACGGAGAAGATGGCATTAGAGGCATTGAGGCCACCGTAAGACGTGGGATAGAAGTACAAACGGATGAACTTCCTACCAGGGGCGACGGGGAAACGATAGGTGTAATTGGACTGGAAAATGCGAGCATTCATATAAGGGACCTGGGGGACAGAGGGCTTTTGATCAGCAGCAGGGAAAACCGAAGCCTTGGAGGAGGCCAAAGCAAACTTGGAGCCAATATCAGAATACCATTTGCGACCATCAGCATCAGTAGATTGGGAAGGACCTCCGCAGCTGAGCAGAATCTTATCAGTCGGGACATAATTGTCGGCCAGAACTCGACGGGCCACAAACACGAGGAATAGACAATTGAGAAGGGAAAAGAGGAGAGGATGGCGTGGCTCGCTCATAATGTTGATGCGGACCAAGAAACTTATACCACAATAGTATCTGCAAATGAACAGGACACATATATGCATATATATGATCACCATCGAAGGAAAAAGCTTCGAAATTGAAGTCGGTTATAATTTGTATGGATACAATACTGGCAAGATAGGTAGCATAGCACCATCAGATTCTAGAGAGAGAGAGAGGATAAACAAAAACAAAAACAAAAACAAAAAAAGAGGATGACATCGTCTTAATAAAAGTTAATCTTTTTGGGGGTCAAGAACGGAGAAGGGAGATGAACGAATGAGCGGCATGAGCCATGAGTGGATATTACAACTAATCAAACTCGCAGATCCAAACAAAGGAAAAAATTTATCGAAATCGACTCTGAAGTCCAAGTTGAAAAAGATGGACTGTTAAAAGACTCCTATTTTCTGAAACTCTATTTCCCAAAAAAAGAGACTTTTTCTGAATTTTTTTTTTAAAAAACCTCAACTCGACCGTAAAGTCGAAAAGCGATTAGCATTGAGTATGGACCATGTATAAAAATATATATTGTCAAAAAGAAGAAGGAAAAAAAAAAAGCACAGTCCTTGGAAATTCTTTAAATTTGATAATAAATATTATGGGCAAAAATAAACAGTGGGGTTTGGACGGACGGATCGAGGGCTTAAAATGGAGTGAATAGTTGGTGAAAATCGAAGGGGAAAAAAATGAGATAAGAGAAGTGGAATTGAGTGAAAGCAGATGAAGATGCAAAAAAAAAAAAAAAAAAAAAGCTCCAGAAAAAGAAGACAAATAAGCAATGAAGCAGTAGTTGAAAAACTGAAAATGTATGTGCTGGGACCAAAAAAAAAAAAAAAGAGAAGAAAAAAATAAGCAAAAAAGCTTCTGGATCCACAGATCGAAGCAGGTCATGAATACCCAAAAAAGAAAAGGATGGGAAAAAAAAAGCAGCAAAAGTCAAATTGGCAAAGAGAAAGAAACATACCAGCAGGTGGATGGGTGATGAGGAAGAAGAAGAGATCCAAAACTTCTAAGACATTTTGTGGAACAAAAACTTCCGAGTGAGGAGTCTGTCTGCAAGTTGTTGGATTGCTTTGATGCGCTGCCCCTTCTTTCTCTTGCTCGTTCTCTCTCTCTCTCTCTCTCTTTCTTCTTCTTCTTCTTCTTCTTCTTCTTCTTCTTCTAATGCTAATAATGCTAATGCTAGTGCTAATGCTCACGACAGAGGAGAGAGAGAGAGAAATAGTCCTACTAAAACGAAAGCAAGGCAAGTTGGCAGGCTTTCAATAGGTTTTTTTAAAAAAAATATTATATATTTGTATTGTTTTCGGTCAGTCATTAATATTATTCATTTCAAGTAAAAACTACGCACCTCCACTACTACTCGGCAGTAGTAGTATAGTATTATTATTATTCATTTGTAGTAAAAACTACCGCTACCAGTACCGGGGCCCCACCATAATATTTTTTCTTTTGTTTACACATATAGGACGCGTTTCGCCGGGCCCCACCACCCCACACGGCACTAGCTGGATTGGTTTGGTTTTTACTTTTAGGCTCATCTTCTTTCTTTCCGCTAATTATCGCGTCCCTTTTTCCTTTCTGTCATCTTTCTTCTTGCAGCCGGTGCGCAACTCGCGGTAGCAACAACAGCTTGCACAACAGCCCCACTCACACCCCCTTAACATCTGATCCGGGTACGAAATTATTTTTTTTTAAAAATTTTTTTATTTATGTTTATGATATGATATGTTTAAAATAAAATAATATTAATATAATTAAAAATATTTTTAAAAAGATAAAGCAGTGAGTTTGTTTGGACAAAGGAAATTTGGAAAAAAAAATTTGGCCTCACAAATCCCAATCACCTTTTTATCTTCCCAACTACCTTTTTATCTCACATATATCACATCACAAAAGTGCTACAGTAAATATCTCAAATAAATCATCCAAATAAACTCTTATCCAAACAAACTCAGTGTGTTTTTAGTGAGAATATTCATTTCCATCTATTTTAAGTGGCTATGATTATCCTTTTCTTTATTTTCTTACTTGAGTTTTGTTTTCCTGAGAGACTTGGCTGGCTGCCCCGGTCGGGGGCTCTCTCTCTTCTTCTTCTTTTTTTTTTTTTTTTTTTTTGTGGTTCGTTGGGGGAATAGTGTGGTGGGATCCACGGCACTATGATTCACGTTGTGGGTCCCAACTTTGTATTCGGTGGCCACGTTATACTGCAAGAGACACAAATAATATTTGACTTTGAGTAACATCAATTGAAATCAATTATTACTCTTTTCGTCCCATTATAGTTTTAGTTTTTTTTTAATACATAAATTTAAAAAAAATAATTAACTTTGTTAAAAAAATAAATTTACGTTATTATTTTTCTAAAATACCTTATATTAAATAAAATATTAATTTATATTAATTATTCATGAAAATTTGAATTAATGAATTATGAAAACTTGAATTGACAGTTAAGAAAGAATCAATCCTCATTCATATATCACATGTTTTGAAAAATCTAAATATTTTAAATGAGATATGTTATATCCAATAACAATCTATATTAAATAAGTTAGTTTATGCTAATATCAACCTACATTGAATGAAAATATTTTCAAATAATTAAAAAATAAATACATTTTTCAATTAGAAAATGGACTACAATTAAATGGCAAAGCCAGGAAGTTTCTTCAGCAAGAGCACTTTACATTTATTATCGTAAAATCTCTTTCTTCTGCTTCCACGGAAATTCCAATTTGCATTTATTATTGGAAAATCTTTTTCTGCTTCAGCGGAAATTCCAAGGCGTTATGTTTTTTTTTTAAAAAAAAAAACTCAGTTGAAATCAAATGACTAATCGGACAGACGGAGGAGAGGAGACCGGAGAGGGAGGGAGGCGAATACTCTTCCTAAAATGTTTACATACATACAGAACCAAGGCATAACTGCGGTGGTGGTTTGCTCCATTGCTACTCTGGAGAAAATGGACGACATAACAATTAATCTCAGTCAATACTGAAAAGAAAAAAATGACCACCGGGAAACTGCAACAACCAGTGCAATCCTATCTATGGAGGAGTATGTGGTGGGCGATACCCTGCCCTGCATATGAGTGTAGCAGTAACTGGTAGGGTGACAGAAGGAGAAAGTCTCAGTGTGAGTGTGATGGATGATCGATCACAAGTAATCCATGGGAAGCTCCCATTCATCAGCCCGCTCCACCACTTCTCCAGGGAACTTCCCCCTGGCCCTGGACAAGTTTCTCTTCCCGCTTCCCCCGTATCCACAACATTCTTCAAACTCATCATCATCATCAACTGACCCGCCCATCTTCTGACCGCCACCCCAAAACCCCTGTGCCAGCACCCGTCCGTCAATCGTCAATCGTATAATTCCACATCTCAAATTTAGTAACCGCTACTAAATAGTAGCACCAAAACTTGAGCAAAAACGGGTGTACTCATTTTGAGCCGAATCCTCTTCTTCGGCTTCAGAGCTCACCAGCTTGCCTCATCAATTTCTATGCTTTTGTTTCCTTTTGCATGCAAATGCATCATGCACAAGTGAAACGGAATATACTACACTACTTTTACCCCAAAGAAAGAGACAGAATATGTGGTGCTGTGCTCAACCCTGATTCGTTTCTTTTATATTTGAGCTTCTCCATCGCAACAAGTATATAGGTGCTTTGTTATGATCCTCTTTTGCTTCTATGCTTTAAAGCCCATCCGAGATTTAACATTTGCTAAAACAAACTTTCACCACAAATGGATACCAAGGAACAAGCTTAAAGAAACCATCTTAGTCCCAACTGAAACCATCTGAGAGTATCAAGCAAAGACAACATTTATTTACCTTAGTAAGCCTCTGGATGCGTGATGCTGCAGCTTCATGTACTACAACAGTGTCTGGTAAAACTTCCAGCACATCCTCAACCAATAATGCATAGGTGCTCACCTGTAATACAGCAGCAAAGCATCTGAAATCACATCCAAAATCCTCAATTCAGCATTTACCAGATCATGGAATCTTGCTTCAGTTAAACACAGTGAAAACACCAATAAAGGAAAGAATGATTTTCAGAATCTGGTAATAGTAGTGTAAAGCACGATTCACCAACCAAACTTGACGGGATGATGGATATCCCAAATGAATCAATCTCAAGAGACTCCACTACCCCAGAGTTAATGTCAAAATTGTATCCACGCACCTGAGAAGCAAATAATTGCCATATGATCCCAGAAGTACTCGAAATTAAAGGCCTCAAAAGCATGAGAAGACGTTGGAAGAGTGGTGACTTACTTTTCCAATATTTCGCCGACCTGGAGTTGCAACAGTATATCCTACCTAACAGACAGCATCAGTTACCATACAGATTTGGCAAACAAAAGGGCACATTGGCATATTATTGACTGGAAAGGGCAAGAGTACTTTAGAGTTTCGACATGGAACATCATGAGAACTAATCAATGTTTGTATCAACAATTTCATTTTCTATACATTTCTTTGGAAATTTTGCCCAGTGGTCTGGGGTCAAAGAAATGAAGCACTTCACCATCAATTGTTATGTGAAGAGCAATTTAAGAATTTTGAGTAGCAAGAGCATAAAAGAGTAGATTGTTAGATTTATCTTCACAAAGGATCACAAAACGACTACGCATATGTACTTGGCTTGGAGAGAGAATAACGGCTCTATGAGTACTGACAGCCACTAAACAGTGGATCCTTTTCCTACCCGTACAGTTCCTTGTTGGATGCCAGGTATTTTAATTACGTTCATTGAATTGCTTGAAACATTTCTAAAAGAGCATGAAATGGCTCCTCTCTTATCAGTCAATAATAGATGAAATGTAAAGCTTCAGGAGAAACAATTGTTCTTACAGGCATAAAAGGATGCACTTAGAGTGCAAATGACCGAGATTATTAGTATATATGACGAACAGGAGGGAAAACTAGACCTCCAGTGGTTGAGCTATCTCAGTGGTCTAATTTGATGGAGTAAACACCCTCCGGAATCTTTGTGCAACATGTGAAGCCATATGCCTACCCCTTTCCACATATTGGCATAAACTGAAGCAAATAAAAAGCTAGTAGAAAGTACCAGCGTCTCGAATCCAATTAATTTAAAGTCATTTTCCATCACACTCTCATCTTCAACGAGCACCACATCCCCAACCTGGGATGAATGTCATACAAATATGTTAATAGGGTATCAAAATCACTGTAATAGCCACATTACCGTTGGAATAAATTTAAATGCACAAGAGTAAGCTTTAAGTTGAAGAACGGCAAATATCCACAATTTCATACATGTTGAGCACGCGGACTTAATGACATTTACTATTTGAAGAAACTCAGTAGGAGAACTGGAGAACATGATCGACATGATGGTGACAATTGACAGGGCATCAAGCCAATCTTGAAACTAAATAATTATTTTGGGGTGTAATAGTAGCAAAATATCAAATTTACTGGCAAATAGAAAGGAAAAATAATCAATTCTGTAAAGAGAAGAGGAGGTAGCGCACAGCTCTAAGTGTAATGAAATAAAAACCTTCGCAAGCTCGTCCAAGGAAAACCTTTCTAGCTCACTGGAAAGTAAGTTTGGCTTCACCTCTACAAATAACACCGCCCACTGCCATGGTGAAAAGAACAAAAAAAAAAAAAAGATATCAGCTCCGTGTCATGCTACTACTACTGAATGCCAGAGGAATGAATATGTCCTGCTGGTTACTGTATGAGCTCTTAAACTATCCAGCAAGCTAAAAGATTAAAAAGGCTACCAGGCAGCTTTAGGAGGAAAGAATTCCCACAAACCGAAGTCTGCCAAGTAGTTGTATTATTGCGGCAGCGGCACAACAGATAGTTCCATGTGCATATTGTAAGCATCAACCGGAGGCAAATTGCAGTGAGAATGAATGACGAAAATCAAAGAGGTAGAGAATCAACTTGTGGGATTCAGAAGAAAATTTGAGAGAAAATACTAGGCAGTATATATTGAAGGAGGAAAGAAAGAAATTAGTTGGTTGTAGTGTACGGTAGAAAATATAACCACTCACAGCATTTGTATCGACCCAGAGCTGGGAAACAAAACCCAGGGAGAGGGCGGATTGAATGCTGATAACTTGCTTGGCGATCATAGTGGACCTCTTCATGATTTGCCTCCTCCTAGTCCCTTTTGCTATCCCCTTGCAGACAACAGGACCACCGCTATCTTCTTCTTCTTCTTCTTCTTCTGGCTTAGGCCATCCCACATCCAATCCCTCCTCGTCCTCTCCTGTTGGCTTGCGCTCTCCCTCCTTGCCGCCCTTGTCGCCACCTCTTCTAGTACTAAAATGGGAGACGAAATCGAGGGACTGGGATTCGTCGCAAACTTTTCCATCTCGTACTTCTTCTCTTTTATATTGGGTATGCGTTGGAGCAGTCTTGTACGGACGATGACTTTCCAGAATGCTATTGTGATTCTCCTTCTTCTTCTTCTTCTTCTTCTTCTGCTTCTTGAACCCTAATTCTTCATGTTCTTGGTACAAGTTGTTGAATTGGGAGTGGCGAGGAGAAGCTGAAAAATGAGTCGGTTTTGATTCTTGAAATAATAGGAACCGTCTGCAATTGAAAAAAGCACTACAAGCAGTCATACCAGTGAAGCTTGAAAAATGCCATGTGGGAACACTGCTACTCTTTTGATGCAGTGGTGGTGGTGGTGGTGGCAGCGGCGCGCAGGCGAAGAGGGCCTGGGCGAATCCCATAATTTCCTCTTTAAGTGGTCCGTTATTATTACTAATAGTAGTAGTATTAGTGCTTCTAAATCCACGGAATGTGTGATTTGCACAATAAAAAAGTTACAGACATCCCAGCATTCGTCATCCACATCCTCGGACTGTGATTTGATTTGGGATCAGCACCGCATCTGATCATCATCGATTTATGGACTGTTCGGCTCAGCTCACGTTATCCCAATCCAAACTGTGTTACTTGCAAAATAGTTCATAACACCGAATTTTATCCTTCTTTAAACTTCCGTCCCTTTTCTCAATTCAAGTTGATAAAATTTGGCCTCAACCAAAACTTCTTTTTTTTTTTTCTTGTAAGAAAGAGATTGAAATTAACCTAAACTTCTAATCACTGTTTAGTTTAAAATCACCATGTTATTCATATACAGTCATTTTTTTATATATAAAGATATCAAACCTCACTTTTTTAGAAAAATAAATAAATATGGTTCAGGTCAGATTTCGTGTATTTTTAAGGACAATAATGAATATGAATCACGTAATTTTTGTTTAACTACAAATGGTATCTAATCTTTTTATCTCTAGAAAAAATGACCATATGTAGTCATGCGATGGATTCAAAATAATAAGTGGTTAAACATTGTTTCGATTCCCTCAAAAAAAAATTTCTTCTCCATGAATACTGAGGAGGTGATTTTTGGGAGGCGGTTGAACCAGCCGAAATCAGCCTCTTCTGAGGTGAGCTGTATCTGTGTCCGAAGTGAATGGCGGGGCTTCTCCCCTGGGATCACTCCGATGCTCAAGTTAGTATGAGAACGAGAGAAAAGCAGTAGTATTGTCAGATGAACAGTATACTTACTTGCGAAATGTACAGGAGGGGTATTTATAGAGGGGGAGTAGATGTCAGGACGGAGGGTTCATGCTGGTGGGACCCATGTCCTGACATTACGGCTCTGTTCCCTGCCAGGAGGCCTGACTCTGACATTGTAGCCGCCTGGGTTGGATGACGGGGTCCTGCGCAGTAGTCATTAAGATCACCCAGTGCTTTTCAGATAAAGCACTGGTCCTGGGCGTTGTCAGGGGTGTTGACATCATCAGCGTTTAGCCGAGGTGGTAGCCTGGGGTGCAGAGGTCATCCACCGAGGAGACCATGGACCGAGCCTAGCTCAGGGTCCGGATCGGGGAACGGCTGTGTTTGTGTAGGAAACGAAACGAGGTCACCTCGGCCACAAGGTACTGCCGAGGTGAGCACCCTCAATAAGCCCCCCAAGCCTCGGGAGCTCCGGGTTAGGGAGGTACCGAGGCTTCCTTGTGCCGAGGTCATGAAGAGTTGGGGTCCCGAAACTGCTCCGGAAGATGCGGGGACGAGACACGTGAGCGAGTCAGTTGACAGGACGTGGCCACTGGTAACCGTCGCGTCATGAAGTAGTGGAACGTTTCGTGCAGGGGGAGTGTCAGTTGAAAGGACGGGTCATTAATGAGGAGAGAGAGAGGCACGTCCTTTTGAATTCGAACGTGGTTGCCTTTTCGCATTCTTGCTGCCTCTTCGGATTCCCCCCGACTCCCTATAAATAGGGGGTCCTTTTCACCATATGGCCCATCACTTTCTCTCTCAATCTCAGACTTGTAAAATTCTTGAGCGTCGCCGAGGTCAGTCCTGCCAGCCGAGATATCAACCGAAGTCATCCACTTCGTCAGATTCCGTAGTCAACAGTAAGTATCTTTCTCTTCATCTCACATTCACTCATGGCCAAAACGGCTAAAACCCACAAGGAAACTGTGAAACCGAGCTACCAGGCCGAGGAGGTGCCGGACACTTCGGAAGATTCGACTTCATCCAGTTCAACGGGGTCGGCACCTACCGATGTGGAGGAATCGGCCGAGGAAGAAGTGGCGGGGACCGCACCGGGGTCAGAGTCCTCAGAAATGAGCGAGGGCGGTTCCGATGTCGAATACGACACCAAGCTCGGAACCGCAATACCCCACGACGAGGGGGTGCTGGAGCCCGTCGCTCCAAGAGATGTTGCCAACCTGGACTTCGGCAAGATGCCGCAGTTCAGGAGCCGCGTGGGAAGAGACAGGGCCTGGAAGGTGATAAGGAAGTATCCCTTCAGGCCGGGGTATCTCATGACATCGCCCGGGCCGGACGATTCGGCCGAAAAGCCCCCCATGGGCACAGTGGCCATCTACCTTCAGCAGTTGGAGGCTGGGCTGAGGATGCCGACGTCAAGATTCCTCCGGGACGTGCTCCGTCACTTCGGCTTAAGAATCACACAGCTCGTCCCAAACGCGGTCCGCATTCTCGTAGGCTTCGAGATGCTGTGCCGACATCAAGAGGTGACCCCGACCGTGGACCTCTTCCGCCGATGTTACACCTTCAAGGCACATGGGACAGATAAGGGATGGTTCTATGTCTGCAACCGGAACAAAACCATCCCGAAGCTAGTCATCGGCGCCCCCTCTTCAATAAAGAATTGGAAGCGTGACTTCATATTCGTCTCGGCCGTGGACTTCCCACGGGGTTTTTGGTGGAGGCCTATCAAATCGAAAGCCGACCCTTCGGCGGGGGATCGTGAGGAGGAGTCCTTCCAGAAATTGATGGGGTCCGGACTTCGGATCTTCAGCTGGGACCACCCCGAGGCCGTGCTGGTCGATGGGGGAATTAGCCGAGCTTTGATCCCGCCTGACAGAACTCCCCTCATTTTCGCAAAACTTAAGATACCTTGTAATTTTCTTTCATAGCTTTGTTTGCACTTCGGCTAAGGCATATAATAATATTTGTTTCTTGTGCAGTGACCAAATTGTCCGATATCATCACGTCGAGTCCAGGGGCCGAGGTGGCAAAAAGGTCGAAAAGAAAGAGTTCAGGCGAGATATCGGCGCCTCCGCCCAAGAAGAAATCGCAAGGGCAGTCCTCTAAGCCTTCGGTGGAGATGACCACCCCCACCACGGCAGCCCAGAGCAGCTCGGCTGCTGCGGCCACAGGCTCCGCCTCTTCGGTGCCAGAAGGGGTGCCATTAGGGGTGACCACGACACTTCCACCTCGACATGGCCGAGGCAAACAGTTGAAGTCTCCGGTCAACGCGGTGACGGCGTCCTCATTATGGAACCGTTACCAATGCCCCCCGGTGTTTGCTGGGAAAGAAAAATCTCACCCCGGCGAGCATTGGTGTCCGGACTGGACGCTCAAGGTCAACGACCGATGCAGCCACCCTCGGGTTGCACAAGATCTGGTGATGCAGTCCACATTGCCGAGGGACTTGGATTTCACCAGGAAGCTGACTCCTGCCGAGATGCTCCAAAGCGTCATGGTGACCACGGCCTCCAACACAGCCTTTGTGGCCGAGATGACACATCGGTACTGTGAATTGCTTGAGGAGCAGGACACCGGCAAACTGCAAGATCAGATTGCCAAGCTGAAGAAGAAGCAGGTTGTGTCTGAGTCCGAGAAGTCTGAACTTCAGAGACGGCATCAAGAGGCAGAGACTAAGGAGGAGGAGGCCGAGGCCACTATCAATAGTCTGAGGTCGGCTCTGGAGGAAGAGCAGAAGAGGTCAGAGGATGCGAAAAAGACCCATGAGCAGGCTCTCGAGAGCGCGAGGACCTCGGCTGTAGAGGATTTCCGGAGGTCCGAGACCTTCATCGGGGACCTCGGCCAGCTGTCGAGGCCGAGCTTCATGCTAGGCTTCACTTCGGCCATAGACGAGGCAGCAGCTCATCTACCCTCTGAGGCTTTGGAGTCCTTGAGGAACAGTGCCCACTACAACGAGGACTCCAAGGAGCTGTGTGATCGGATGGCCGAGGGCATCCAAGCAGGAAAGAACTTGGCCGAAGTCCAAGATGAGTTCAACAAATGGTTAGATGAGCTTGACGAGGTCTTTGAAGAGGAAGGAGGAGATGAAGCTGGTGGTGACGTCGGCGAGGAAGGTGCCGAAAAGCAAGGAGAAGGTGAAGCAGATACTCACCCCGGCGGGGGAGAAGCCACGGAGGCAACTGGCCAAAAGGGAGCCGAAGCGGAGACTTAGCTCATAGGAAATTAGATGTAGAAAGTAGGACCGAGGTGGGAGATGCTTAGCAGTGCTCCTGTCCTCGGTCTTTGTCTTCTTTTTGTAATGCCTATTCTTCGTTAAATGAAATATTCTTTCCTCAGCTTGGCTCTTTTAATTTCATGCTTCGCCCCCTGTTTGTCCCCCTTATTTTTTAATAACAGATGTACGGCACATTCGTATTAAAAAAAAAAATAACACAGCAGCTGAAACGATAACTTAGTAAAATCTTCAAACATAATACAGTCTGAGGTTCTCGGCATGCCAAGTCCTCGGCACTAGAGAGCCATCTCGGTAGCTCAATTTACAATACCCACTTAGGCTAGATTCCACAACTCGGTAAGGACCTTCCCATTTCGGGCTCAATTTCCCTTGCGGCTCAGCTCGGCTGACTGAGTTTTTTCTGAACACCAAGTCTCCTGGCAGGAACCGCCGATGCTTGACGCGGGCATTGTAGTAGTGGGTCAGGATGTTCTTGTAGGACGCTATCCGAGCTGAGGCGAGGTCTCTTTTCTCGTCGATGAGGTCGAGATCTAACTGCCTCTCTTCTCTGTTCATCTCGGCTACATAGGCTGTTAGTCGAGGGCTGGGTGTGAGGAGCTCAGCAGGGATGACAGCCTCGGCTCCATAGGTCAAGGAGAAGGGGGTCTCTTGCGTGGATGACCTTGGTGTGGTCCGATATGACCACAGAACACTGGGGAGTTCTTCCACCCAAGATGATCCAGTTCGGTGCAGTCGGGTCTTGAGGCCATGCAAGAGAATTCAGTTGAAATTTTCTGCCTGACCATTGGCCTGAGGGTGGCCTACCGATGTGAAATGTTGTTTGATGCCGAGGTTTTGGCACCAAGCTTTAAATGGGTTCTCGGCAAACTGTCTTCCATTGTCCGAGATGATGATCTGAGGTATGCCGAAGCGGCAGATAATACATTTCCAAAAGAATTTTTGAATGGCCAGCCCTGTGATGGTCCGTAGAGGCTCGGCTTCAACCCACTTAGTGAAATAATCCACAGCAGTTACCAGGAAGGTATAGCCCCCGACCGCTTTAGGGAAAGGACCGATGATGTCTGTCCCCCATTGCTCTAATGGCCAGGGTGAGGTGATTGGAACCATGAATTTCGAGGGTTGGTGAAGCTCAGGGGCGTGGACTTGGCAGGATGGGCAACCGAGAACAAGATTCTGGGCGTCTTGTCG